CCTGAATGGTCCCCGTCCTCCCCTTTCGTTAATAGCCGGGATGCTGGCCGACCGACTGGACCGGTGGCGCATTCTGACCAGCATCCACACCTTCTATCTGCTGGTTGCCTCCGCGATTCTCACTCTCCTCATTCTTGACCTGATTCATCCCTGGTTAGTTTTCATTGCCATTCTGTTGCAGGGCACGGCCAAGGTCCTGGATGACCCCACAAGGCGGGCGGCGCTCTTTGACCTGGCCGGACAGGACCGCATCGCCCACGCCATGTCGCTGGAGACCATCACCAACAACGTGGGCAAGATCCTGGGGCCCATAGCCGGGGGACTGCTGATCGCCTTCTACAGTTATACTGGGGCATACATGGTGCTGGTCACGCTGGACCTGATCGCGGCCGCCCTGATGTTCAAGCTGCGGCTGCCCAAAGCGGCGGTGGTGGTGGGTCGGGATCGGGAGTTCCTGCAGGGGATCAAGTCGGGCATCGGCCATTCCTTCTCCAACAAGTTCGTGCTGGGGGTGCTGACCATATCCCTGGTGATGAACGGCATGGTGCTGCCGCTGCAATACTTCATTCCGGTCATCGCTACCGAGGTGCTGAAGGTGGGGCCGGCTCTGGGGGGTGTAATCGGCGCGGCGGAAGGCATTGGGACGCTGATGGGGGCGATAATCATCGGCGCGCGCCGCAACTACACCTTCCACGGCCGTTACTTCGCCATCGGCGCCATGATCGTGGCCGTGGGCGTGGCCGCAGTGGCCTGGTCGCCCTGGTTCCTGGTCTCCTTCCTGCTGCTGTTCACCGCCGGAGTGGGTCAGTCAGGGTTCAGCACGATGCAGAGCACCATTCTGCTGCTGTCGTCACCGGCGGAAATGCGGGGCCGGATAATGGGGTCCCAGGGCTTGGTGAACGGCCTGGGCCACCTCATCGGCGGCGTGGAAATAGGGGCCATCGCCCAGGCATTCACCATTTCATAGCCATCGGCATCAACGCCGGCGTCGGCCTGCTGCTAATGCTCCCGGTAATGCTGCTAACGCCGTTGGTGAAGCGGCCGGTGGAGGCTTATTACAACAGGGTTGGGGGTGCGGGGGATGGGGCGCGGGTTGGGTAGGGAGCGACTGAAAAGGTTTATGGAATGTGTGGAGCAGGGAAACTGTTGAATGGAGGTAATTTACAGCATATATAATTGGTTGTACAAAGTGTGATGTGTAAGTCGAAACGCTGAAAGCTGCTTGGGAACAAAGACGCGGATTGACAAACCCAAGTTTTCTCTCGATTTTCACACCTGGCAAGTAAGATAATTAGCTACTAGAAGACCCAGAGAGTCTGGATAGGATACTTTGGACTCCCACTAATATTAAGAAGAGCTATTCTTGAACAATCGAACCCAACTTACTGGATTGTTGCTAGGAGCGGGTGCATCCTTTGATTTTGGAATGCCTCTGCTTAAGGAACTTTCTCTTGAGCTCAAATGCTGGCTAACCCCGCAAAAACTGCGCAGCCTTAACGAACAGTGGCGTAGTGCAGGCCCAGAGTTCGATTTTTCCGACGCCGCAATCGAGAAGGTTGCTTCTGCCTTGGCCCTTGAGGAGATGCACTATGAGAATCTACTCGGGTACTTGCAAGTAGAAAGCCAAAGATGGTCAGAGGCACCGCAAGACTATCACGGGCTGTTTCAACGTATTCTGGGTATAGTTTATTTCCTGTTGCAAGAAAGGCACATTCGCAATGTCGGCCACATTGCCGGAAAGATTGGATTCTTGGATGGAATCAAGACACTGGTAGCTCAGAACCATCCCCTTTGGATATTTTCATTGAATCACGACTTGATAATTGAGTGCTTCGCGGCCAACGCTAAAATACCTCTAAATTGCGGTTTCACAAAGGAGACTATTCTACTCACTCGACGCAACCGCAGAGGTGAGTTTATAGGTACATTAGAGGCAGAGATATTAACTGAAGATGTAATAAAGAATGAGGGATTGCCGTATTACAATTTGGGACAGCAAGGCATAAATCTCTTGAAGATACATGGCTCCCTCGACATATTCAGCTTCACTGATGGCTTAGATCTGCTTAGAGTACTTCCGTGCGGTGAAGGCCTTAATGGAGTGATTGCTGCGCTCAATGCTGTAAACCATGATCTCAAGTATATTGAGCCGAGGTGGCCGGGGGGCGTGATAACAGCTTCTAATGAGATAGTTTACGCTGATGAATTAGGAGAAATGCAGTTCCTGCGACGTTCCATCTTGGGAGGCGCGTACAAGTTTGATTCCCGTCACGATCAGGTAGTGCCAAGGGAGCTACTAAATTATTTTGAGTCTAACTTGAGATATATAACCAATCTGGTATGCATAGGATACGGATTTGGCGACCGGCATGTTAACCAGATTCTAATCGAATGGCTTGCACTTAATGACGACCACCGCTTAACTATTGTCGATCCAAATATAAAAGAACCCCCATCGGATTTCCTACACTTAACCCAACAAGTGGACTTAAGAAATTATGATTGTACTGACTACCTTGACAGTTTGGGCGGCATTAGGAGATCTCAACTAGAGAAGACAAGCAGGCATTTCGCTGCATGGAAGCGCAGTAGGGGACAAGATGCAGATTCGGTGTTTCAGGAATTCCTGAAACAGGAAAGGTGCCAATTTATAGAACAAACTGTGAACTGGGCTAGTAAACTTCCTATTCGAGACGGCGAAATTGATCTGCAAGACTTAGGGCTGACTTCTGAAGAATTCGTTGAGAAAAGACTTGCTGAGATAGCTGTTCCCGCCCCTGAAGAATTCATCGCGAAATTCCTAGAGCAACAACAGTTCCGATGTCATTGAAACTGAGTCAGACCTGCATTCACGGCTAAGGCGTCATACTTGCCCCTCAACCCCCCAAGAGGTTCCCACTTGTACAAAATCGGCATTAACGGGGGAGGCACCTTAACCGATTCCAGGGGAGACTCCCCCAGCACCATGGCGCCCGCGTCGTTGAAGAGCACATCGATCCTGCCGTCAACGTTCTACTCGCCTGGCGGACCATTTCATTGACTTGTGACTCTGTCGGTTACGTCGCAGCCGATGGCAAACAAGTCTCCGCCGACGTTCCTGATTTCCATGGCCGTTTATTCAAGGGTTCCGGCCAGGCCGGTTGGGGAGTGTTTGCGTGCGCAAATGACCACGCTGGCGCCTTCTTTCAAGTGCCTACTATCGTGATAACAGGGGACTATCGACGGTCTTGGTCATCCAAGGCCGATCCCGCTCACATAGCTTCTGGGGACTTTACTGACGCCATTGCCCGGGATGCGGCAGCCGATTCCCAGTGTATTCCCGAATGAACAGCTATACTGGCAGGGAGAATTGTCATTTTGAAGGACAATCCGCGTCCGCGCTGACGATCCGAGCCTGAAGGAGGACCACATCAATGCACTGTGGAGTGATGGTCACCGGTTACAACCAGGGTGACTGGCCCCGTCTCATGGAAGGAGACTATGACCGCCCGCCGACCATATCGGACGCCAGAAATATGGATGACACCCTCTATATGGGGGAACTGGTCGAGCCGCTGGGGTTCGATTCAATCTGGGCAACCGAACACTACGGCTCCGCCTACTCAATGCAGCCTAACCCATTGCAATACCTGGCATACTGGGCGGGCCGCACAAGTCGAGTCGATGTGGGCACTGCGGTCATCGTCGCTCCGTGGTGGAATCCGGTCCGGCTTGCTTCTGAGATATCCATGCTTGATATCCTGCTGAAAGGCAGACGCCTCCATCTGGGGATCGGCCGTGGAATCGCGCCTCACGAGTATGCCTCGCTAGGCTACCCGATAGAGCAATCGCACAAGTATTTCTACGATGTGATCAACGCTATCAGGGCCGCTGACGGAGCGGAGCGCTTCGAGTTCAAGGGCGACGTGTACGATATTCCCCCAACCACTATCCGGCCGCAAGCCCGCCACAAAGGTGAGCTAACCAAGGACATCAAAGTGGCGTTTACCACCGAGGCGTCGGCAAGAATGGCTGCCGAGAACGGCCTCGGGCAGATGTTTGTTGCCGGCGACGACGTCGAGGCGATGACCGATAAGGTGCGAAGGTTCAACAGGATTCGCAAGGAACTGGGCCTCCCTCCTGACCAGCCTACCACTCTACTGTGGATGTACTGTGCCGAGACCGAGTCGGAAGCCGAAGAGGGGTGGACCTATTTCTACAATCAGCTCAGGGCTGCCCAGCACCACTACTTCGAATGGAACAATCCAGGTTACGAAGGCATCCATGGCTACGAGGAGTACCTGCTGCGCCAGAATGCCGACATCGGTACCGCTGATGCCGGTTTCGCCGCCCGGCGGGCAACCCAGCCCATCGGTACGCCAGAAGAGATCATCGAAAGGATCAAGGCGATGCAGCGTACCATCAGCCTTGAAAAAGTCGTGATCCATATGTTTTACGGCGGGATGCCCAGGGATAAGGCCGAAAAAAGCCTCAGACTCTTCGCGGAGAAAGTCCTCCCTGAAGTACAAGCCATGCCCACCCCAATAAATCCCAGGTCGTTGGAGTAAGCGCGACGGCGAGAAGCCTGATTCGGTGACGAGATGACTGAGTCGCGTTTTCGGGGTTGCGAACCATATCGGTCGCTGCAGCAAGAGAGTGTACCGACTGCGCTGGCAATGACCTGCTCCCCGTTCAGCGGGTTACGATCACGTCGACCAGGGCTCTTTGCGTTCTGACTGTCCTAATCCCGCCTTGGTTACAGATAAGGTTGACCGCATCTTCAGCGGGCGGCATACTCAACCTTGCCAGCCAGATTGGGCGGCGAAACGGGTAATCCCGAGCCAGATATGTGCTGAAAAATTGCCGCAAAGACAGCTGTGCACCGAAGGGATATGCCAGAAGCGCAGCCCAACGGGAGTCCTTACACCGGAACGGGGAGGTGAACCGTGGCAGGACCATGTACAGGACTGACCGTCCTGGATTTGTCATTGGGGATGCCGGGTGCCATCTGTACCCTGGTAATGGCCGACTACGGGGCCGAGGTGATCAAGGTTGAACCTCCCGGCGGAGATCCTTTCCGCTTTCAGCCCGCCTGGATTTCATGGAACCGGGGGAAGAAAGGTATTGTGCTGGATCTCAATACTGCGGAAGGCCGCGAGCAAGCTATCCAGTTAGCCGGCGAGGCCGATGTGTTGGTAGAGTCCTTCCGCCCCGGAGACATGGCCGACTGGGGGTTGGCATATGACACCCTGGCGCAACTTTACCCGCGGCTGGTTTACTGCTCCATTACAGGCTTTGGGCAAAAGGGCCCGCTCCGCCGGGTAAAGGGGTACGAGGGTGTAGTTGCGGCCAAAGCGGGCCGGATGCTCAACCTGCAGGGCCAGCCTAACCGGGATGGCCCAGTGTATTCGGCGGTTCCAACCGGTAGCTGGCACGCCAGCCAGGCCGCAGTGCGCGGAATCATTGGCGCCCTACGCGTGCGGGACCTGTGCGGGCGTGGGCAGTGGGTCCAGACCAGTATTGTGCAGGCCCTGGCTTCACCTCACGACAACAACGCCGGTGCCGGCGGCCTGGTCAATTTGCAGCTCTCGCGTAGGGATCCAGAGCGGTACCCCGTCAGGGCCGCCAGCAGAGGCTCTCTACCATCGGATATATTCCGGTCCGGACCAGCGACGGCGCCTGGCTGCAACACGCCAATCAGAGAGTCCCCCACGTTCAGGGTCATCTCAAGGCCATTGGCCTGGGGCATCTCCTTGAGGATGAGCGTTTCGAAAAAGTTCCCGCCATCAGCGTGGAGAATCGCGAGCTTCTGCGCCAGGAGATTTTGAAGCAGCAGCTGGAGCAGACCGCCGACGAATGGATGGAGATTTATCTCCAGGACGGCAACATCGCCGCCGAGCCCTACCGTACCAGCGTCCAGGCCATGAATCACCCTGCGGTGGTTGCCAACGGCACGGTGGTAACGATCGATGATCCTCGCGTGGGCCCTATGCGTACCCTGGCCCCCCTCGTGGACTTCAAGGCCACCCCGGGAGAGCCAAGCGGGACCGGCCCGGATGTGGGGCAACACTCTGCCGAAGTGCTGGGACGCTTGCGGCAGCAGCCCCCGGCCGTAAGCGGCGGCTTGCCAGTGGCGAGTGGCGCCGATGTGCCGGACCACCCCCTGTCAGGAATAACCATCCTTGACCTGGCGACAATCCAGGCCGGGCCCTACGGCGCCTCCCTTCTGGCAGACCTGGGGGCGCGAGTCATCAAGATCGATGCCACCGACAGGCACCTGGATGAGGGGCGGCGTTCCACGGCCCAGGCAATTGCCGAACCACGGACCTACGCAGGCAAGGAAGGTGTTCAAGTTGACCTGCAGACCCCCGAGGGCAAAGAGATCGTCCATAAACTCATCGCCAAGGCCGATGTTCTATCGCACAACTTTCGTCTCGGCGTTCCGGAGCGTCTCGGATCGATTGGGAGACCTGTCGGAGGATCAATCCCCGCATGATCCATGTCTGGATGGGGACCTATGGCGAAAACGGGGAACACGCGCGCCGACCGGGGGCCCACCCCATTCCCGGGGCCATCATGGGCGGCGCCATGCGGCAGATGGGCCGGGGCATGCCCCCGCCTCCTGAACAGGTCATGGATATTGAGGAGACCGTGGAGGCGACCCGGTGGCTCATGAAGTCCAACTGGGGACCGGACCAAAACACCTCTCCGGCCTGGCCACAGGCATCATACTGGGCCTTCGGTCGCGGGACACCACCGGAGAAGGCCAGCCCGTCCACATCACCATGCTCAACGCCAATGCCTGGACCAATGCCGATGAGTACTACGACCACGCAAACCGCCCTCCCATTGCCATGCCAGACGAAGAAATTCATGGCCTTCATGCCCTGTACCGTCTTTACCGCTGCCGGGAAGGGTGGGTGTTCCTGGGTTGCCTGTTCCAGGACGAGTGGGAAACATTCTGCCGCACCGTGGAGCGGGGAGACCTCCTGGCTGATAGCCGCTTCTCTAATCGAGAGGCGCGACAGGCCAACGACGAGGCCCTGGTCGCCGACATCTCGGCTATCTTCGCCGGGCGCACTGCTTCCGAATGGGAAGAGTTGCTGATCGAGGCGGACATCGGCTGTGTCCAGGCCGACGAGGCTCATGGAAGGAGAGTTCTATGCGGACCATCCCCACGCCCAAGCGAATGCTCTGAGCGTTGAGGTGGAGCACCCATTTGTCGGAAAGTACCTTCGTTACGGCGGGTTGGTCGAATTTTCAATGACTCCGGGACTCTACAGAACCTCCATCCAAGTTGGCCAGCATACCAAACCCCTTCTACGGGAAATCGGATACGCCGACCAGGAGATCGAGGACTTGGAACCCGGGGAATCGTCCAGTGGGCAGATCCCTCGGCAGGCGGGGAGCCGTAGGGGAATACGCCCAACATACGTCAAGCCGCTCCTAACTTGGGCTATATTATTGGAAGCCAATGTGCGAAGGCAGGTAATACTTGGTAGTACTGGTCAGTTTCGATATAGATGGAACGCTGGAAGCGGGAGACCCACCCGGGCCCATTACCATGAGCATGGTCAGGAAGGCTCGGGATCATGGGTGCATTATCGGCAGCGCTTCCGACCGTCCGCTCCCGGTACAGCAGGCCATTTGGGACAGGAACAGCATCGAGGTAAGTTTTGTCTCAACGAAGCAGGGTCTCCTTGACTTGAAGTCCCGCTTTCTCGGCTGAGGAGTACTACCATATCGGCGATACGGATTTGGACCGCCAATTCGCCCTGGCAGCGGGGTTCCATTTCGTCTGGATGGATTCCGGATATACCGAACCGTGGATTAACTGGAGGACGGACCAGGATTAGACGCAATTGCCGCGCGGTTTTACTTTTCCCATGGGTTTATCCGCCCTGAAGAACGCCACTGGTGATATTGGCTCGGACTTTGGTAGGGACATGGGTTGAAATAAACCCTGGGCGTCTAACATCTTTGACCAGCAATAGTACTCTGAATATAATCCCCGCTAGATTGTGCTAGATTGTGTCGGTAACGGCAACGCGCGCGTGCGCAAGATTCCGCAGGAGGGAAGAACCATGTCAACTATCCCAGGCCTGGTGAGACCTGCCCCGGTTCCCAATGATTTGACCAAGCCCTTCTGGGACGCCTGTAACGAGCGGCGGTTGGTCTTGCAGAACTGCACCGCCTGCGAGAGGCTGCATTATCCGCCCACCCAGCGGTGCAACAATTGCAGCTCGGCCGACAATCTGGAGTGGAAAGAGGTGGAAGGAAAGGGGCACATCGACGTATACATGGTGATACGCGACTCCCGCATCAGGGGGTTTAGGTCGGCGCAGCCCATCAACTTTGCGGTAATAACCCTGGACGAGGACCCGGGCATCAACTTCTTGTCCAACCTTCCGGGCACTCCGCCGGGCGAGGTCCCCGATGGAGCCCCGGTGGAACTGATATTTGAGGAGACAAGCAACGGGCAGTTTGGTCCACGAGTGGCAGGTAATCGACTAGCCCAATTGGGTCACGCGGACACGGTCAATAGCGCTGAGTGCATAAGGGAGCTGAGATGGTTAGTGACACGAGCTGGATGAGAAATCGGGAAGGTATGGGAATCTGGGAGCACCGGGGCAAAGTCGCCGTTGTAGGTTGGGGTCAGTCCCATATGGACCGGCGCTGGGACGGTTTGAGCCTGGACAGGAGCTGCGGCGGCTTGACCAGGGAGGCATGCCTGAAGGCCATTGCCGACGCGGGCCTGTCTCTGGACGACATTGATGGGCTCATCACCAGCAAGGAGACCCGCGCTGAGCAGACCTGGGCGCCCCGTCCCTATTTTGACCCCCCCTACGACACCGAGGACGGCCTGACCTATGCCTCCGCCGACTGGATTGAAAGAGAACTGGGACTGAAGAACATAAAACATCGGGAGTCCGACGCGCCCTACATCGGCCCAATGATGGGCCAGGCCGCTCAGGCGGTCGGTGACGGTTTGTGCGAGACCGTCCTGGTTTGGTACCCGATGGTTAATCTCGAAGGCCGGTACGGGCACAACAATCCCCAGAATATCAATCAGGAGGCACCCGGGAATAACGCCTTTTCTCTACCGTGGGGTTATCAGAACGGCGCCATGTTCAACAATCTGGTGGTCTTCCTGCAGTATTGCAAGAAATACGGCAAGTCCCACGACGGGCTGGCCCCCCTCTGCCTGAACTTGCGAAGAAATGGCCTGTTGACTGACTGGGGCTACTACTCCTGCACGAACCCTATCAGCTTACCCGCGAGGACTACCTGAACGGCCGCGTCATCGAGGAACCGCTGGTGATTTATGACTGCGACAGGCCGGTCAATACCTGCGCGGCCTTCATTTTCACCACCGCCGAACGTGCCAAAGACCTGAGGCAACAGCCGGTATACGTCCTCAACCATGCCCAGAACAGCGGCAGGGGCAGGAGCACCATGGCAACCCTGGAGGAGCATCAGGAGGCGGTCGCCAGCCTGGCACGGAAGATGTGGGAAGGTTCCGGGCTGGGGCCTGACGATGTCGATATATTCAACCCGTACGACGGTTATCTGACGTTCACACAGCAATTCCTGGAAGGCTTCCAGTGGCACGGCGTGAAGTGGGGAGAGGCCCACGACTTTTACGCCGAGGATATCAGGGTCGAAGGTCCGCATCCCTTCCTTTCAAGCGGTGGCAATAACGGGACTGGGCGCAACCGCGCCGTCCTCTTCTCTGACAGCCTTCAGCAGCTTAGGGGCACAGCGGGCCCGCGGCAGGTGACGGTGCGGGCCGACACTGCCCTGGCAGGCTGCAATACACCTGACAGTTGCGGCTTCCTCATGCTCAGCAAGTATCCGAGCTAGGGAGCCTCTGATAAAGTCCCTTTCCCCTCGACGGGGGAAGTTTAGGATGGGGGTGCCTGCGCCCCTTTCCTCCTACTTGTAGCCTGCCTTCTCCAAAAGGCGGATAACGCCGTGTGTGCAGGTGAGCTGAATCAAATGCCGGTTACTTTTCCGGGCCCTCAAATCCCTTGAGTTCAATGCCCGGCCCCTTCCCTTTAACCTGCGCAAGCACTTTGAATTCGCCATACTCTTCCGGGTCAACCAGTGTCATCATGGCCATGCGGCTAAGTTCCGTTCGTGCGGCGGACAGGCCTTGCCTTGGGAGGGCATCGAGGAACGAGTAGAAGCCAAGGTTCGTCAGGAACTGGCTCTGGAGGGCATAGCTCACAGTGGCCAGTCCGTCCCGATCACCCATCCGCATGAGGGACGTGAAGTCCACGTGGCAGGTAATGTCTTGCTGCCCGATGTGCTGGTACGGGTCGGCGCTGACGCGTGCCGATGGTAACAGACCAGCGTGCCCTGGGCATTCTGGGGCGAGTAGAGGTCGGTAGCCAGTTGACCGTAGTCGATAGTGAGAACAAACCCGCGGTCCAGGGCTTTGGAAAGCTGGCGAGTCCAGTCCGCCGCAGCCAGGCACACCTCGCCCCGATACCCTTCGGTCAAGGATAAGCCCAGGCTGGTAAGCCTCTTTTCGATGCAGGGTGAGGATGGCTCGTCCAGGACTTCGGTGAGATTCCCCTCCACAGATGTGACGAAGACTTCCTTGACTCTTCCACCCTGAATGGCGAACCGGTGGACCGGGAAGTTGTCGATCAACTCGTTACACAGGATACAGCCAACAACATTTCGGAACGCCCCAAGTCCCTTCGGTTTTAACTCGTTGGATTCCCCGGGTCGCGTCTTGCCTGCTTGCGCGATATCTGATCTCCAGTCCCGCTGGCCCAGTCAAAGGCATTGTCAGGTGAGTGGGCCATCCATGCCCGTAGTCTGCCGCGACATAGTTAAGAGCTTGGGCGAACCGGGGGGCCGTTCGCCAGCAGGCATCCACGATCGACCGAGCCAGTGCGCCGTCTCCGGAACCCACCTCGATCACATGGAAAACGGGAGGGTCTCCGAGGAGATGCCACATCTGCTCCAGTTGCCGTGCAATGAGAGCGCCGAAGACCGGGTGACTCGAGGGAGAGGTCCCGAAGTGGGCGTTGATCCTGTTGTCCCGGGCAGAATAAAAGCCTCCTCTGGGCGAGTACAGGCAGGCCTGCATGAACCGAGCGAACGTAATTCGCCCATTCTCTTTAATCAGATCTGTGATCTCCTGCTCAACCATTGAGCGCAACATCATCCCCCGGAACGGCTAAGATTCCCCAGTTTTTCAAGGCAAGCTTCATCATTGCAACATGCGTGCGGACTGCAGTGCATCGATCAATAAGACATCATTAGTATCTCTGGATAGGACGAGTTGTGATTTGCAGGGACTACAGGCCAGTAGGGAGTAGGGCTGGAGATTTTCAGGTCGGGCCGTTGAGAATGTCGCCGTACGATCAACTACTGTGTTTGCGGAGAGCCGTGCGTCGGACTTCCTAACACGGCAATCCAGCGATCTTACAATCCGCCTAATAACATATATCTCAGCTTGTGATGAAAGTGCAGTTTCGCGTGCTCGTGGCTAGTCATACTCGTCAGGGTACAATGATCACGATCTTGTGATTCTGATTGGGGCTTTGAGAGGCTTGGAGTCTGCGATCATTTGAGCACACTATTTGTCGGTTACGATTAAGACGCGATGTGGAATTCTAACCACTAACCTGGCAGGGGGAACCGCCGTGGTGGTACGGTGGAGTTCGTGTCAAAGCCGACATAGACCAACCGCTGGTGGCGTTACAGAAGTTAAGCTGAAGAGTGGTACAAATTGGAAAGTCCCAGTCCCTGGTGCGGGAACTGCTACCGGCCATTGCGACGTACACGGGAGTCCGACGTCACCGGCCGCTAATGTCGATGGTGATTCTGCTATAACTGGCCCCTGCAATTCCCGCGCCGGCCGGAAAGCGGGTTCAAAATTCCAGCACTGCACTTGGCTTGCAAAGATTCCCGCCGGCGTCCGTTAACCCAGGCACTTGCGTGGGGTGTTGCTGTATGCCTGCACCAAACGGGTGAAACCGCTCCGGAGGCACCGTGGCCATATCGGTATTGCGGGGCAAGCCGCGGAGCATACGTCCGATGGCGTTCTCCACGCCGCCCTTCTGCATCGGCGATGCCAGGAAGAAGGGGCAATCAGTCGTTTAGCAGGACGTAGACCGCGGCCGATGGAGTCAGGTCGTCGTGCGAATGGCCCTTGCCAGTGACGTCCTCCATCAGCCGGATATCCCCAGCTCTCAGCACCCGTTTAGCGCCGTCGCTGGCGCCGATCTCCACCTCACCGGACAGGTGGATAATCAGTCTGCGCTCGGGCAGGGGATTAAAGTCCCGGTGGCGCGACCCGTCAAACTCCTGCACACGCACCTCGGACACGTTGATCAACACCCCCAGCTCAGGGTGATCCTCCAGCTTGAGGTCCTCGATGTGGCTCTCGCCGTCGGCGTCCGAAAACACCCGATATATTGCCATTTCGCCTCCCGGTACATTTATGGAAATTTCGCTGCTCGTTCACGCGCGTCTAGCACTACCAATAACGTCAGCACGCTTTCTATTCTCGCACACCGACCGACGTCGGGTTTCGACACCGCAGCTGGAGGTTCCGCTACGTTATCGCCGGTCGGGTATTGCCGTGATTATCCCACGATCGTTGCACGCAGCGACCAGCTTTTGAATGCCGATTCGTACTGTTCGCAACAGCCAGCGCGTGATTTGGCGTGTGCACCGGTCAATGCCCCCAACCCGGGAAACTGACCGCAGGCTGTGTTCGAGCACTTGAGATAAAGCGGCTGGAAGTAGGTCAACAATGCTAAGGACATCCCCATCTTGGACCTCGCCATTGAGCGACAGGCGGATGTCATCGTGGCCACTGACCCAGACCTGCTGGAACTGGAAGGCGAGTTCGCCTTCCGCATCGTCAACCCAACCGCTTTTCACGACTTACTCACGGAGTTCCAATACTGGCCATTCCCAGGGCAACGGAATAATCTGTGCACAGCCGCGATAATACATAGAGTAGAGTACCGGGAGGTGGTTGTAAAAGAATCGGTGT